ATTTATTATTTTGAGCAGGAGTCCATGATTCATCGGGTAAACCTTTTTAAAATGCACCTACTAGGAAGAAGAGCAATAAGACGCCATTATAAAATGAAAAAGTGCGCTTTTTTATTTTGAATGGCGAAGACGTGCTCACCCACAGACATTCACAGGTTCATTTTGAAGTATTAGCAAAACAACAAAGCTAATGCTTTTCACGGAACTTACGTAATTACCCATTATACATTGTGATGTAGCCTGGATCGTTGGTCCGTTAGATCGGATTGCTTTCTCACTACACCCGAACCGCTCCAGAGTTCAGTTTCAATCGAGCCGAGACCACCTCATTCAGGCGATCTCGGACCGATTGTTTTGGCGCGGATCCGGGCGCGATTGCCGTGTTCACATATGCCCAAACGAACCGAGCTAAGGGGGAAACGCGCCAGGTTCCGAAACAACGAGCCGGGTGTGAAAGCACCCTTAGAGCCAGTGGGAGTATGAGAGCTAGTGTCACTCTGAGAGCCAGAGGGTCATAGGCTGTGGCGGTAGCTGTAACGATCTCTAAGGGCAGTGGCGGTAACAGAGACATTGGAATAGATGATGGCGGCAGCAGAGACAGTGGCAGTCTTAAAAGTGCTGGACATTTCAGAGTCAGTCCCAGAGTAAGTCCCACTAGACAGGCCCCGGCAGTCTGCAAAATCTGAGAGCCAATGGGAGTCCCAGAAGGAGGGACAGTCTAAGAGCCAGAGTCAATCTGAGAGCTAATGGGTGTCTGACAACCAGTGTCAATATGAGAGCTAGTGGGAGTCTCAGAGCAAGTGGGAATTTCAGAAGAGGGAGTCTGAGAGCCAGTGAGAGTCTCAGAGCCAGTGTCAATCTGACAGCCAGTGGGAGTCTCAGAGCCAGTGTCAATCTGAGAGTCAGTGGGAGTCTCAGAGCCAGTGTCAATCTGAAAGCCAGTGGGAGTCTCAAAAGGAGTGGGAGTCTGAGAGCCAGTGTCACTCTGAGAGCTAGTGGGAGTCTCAAAGCCAGTGTCACTCTGAGAGCAAGTGGGAGTCTCAGAGCCAGTGTCAATCTGAGAGCCAGTGGGAGTCTCAGAAGGAGTGGGAGTCTGAGAGCCAGTGTCACTCTGAGAGCCAGTGAGAGTCTCAGAGCCAGTGTCAATCTGAGAGCCAGTGGGAGTCTCAGAAGGAGTGGGAGTCTGAGAGCCAGTGTCACTCTGAGAGCCAGTGAGAGTCTCAGAGCCAGTGTCAATCTGAGAGCCAGTGGGAGTCTCAGAAGGAGTGGGAGTCTGAGAGCCAGTGTCACTCTGAGAGCCAGTGAGAGTCTCAGAGCCAGTGTCAATCTGAGAGCCAGTGGGAGTCTCAGAAGGAGTGGGAGTCTGAGAGCCAGTGTCACTCTGAGAGCCAGTGAGAGTCTCAGAGCCAGTGTCAATCTGAGAGCCAGTGGGAGTCTCAGAGCTAGTGGGAGTCTGAGAGCCAGAGGGTCATAGGCTGTGGCGGTAGCTGTAACAATCTCTCAGGCAGTGGCGGTAGCAGAGACATTGGAATAGACGATGGCGGCAGCAGAGACAGTGGCAGTCTTAAAAGTGCTGGACGTTTCAGAGTCAGTCCCAGAGTAAGTCCCACTAGACAGGCCCCGGCAGTCTGCAAAATCTGAGAGCCAATGGGAGTCCCAGAAGGAGTGACAGTCTAAGAGCCAGAGTCAATCTGAGAGCTAATGGGTGTCTGACAACCAGTGTCAATATGAGAGCTAGTGGGAGTCTCAGAGCAAGTGAGAATTTCAGAAGAGGGTGTCTGAGAGCCAGTGAAAGTCTCAGAGCCAGTGTCAATCTGAGAGCCAGTGGGAGTCTCAGAGCCACTGGGAGTCTCAGAGTCGTTGTCAATCTGACAGCCAGTGGGAGTCTCAGAGTCAGTGGGAATTTCAGGAGAGGGAGTCTGAGAGCCAGTGGGAGTCTCAGAGTGAGTGTCAATCTGAGAGCCAGTGGGAGTCTCAGAGTCATTGTCATTCTGACAGCCAGTGGGAGTCTCAGAGCTAGCTACTGATATATACCTCATATATCAGGTGTGTTTGATTAAAGAGATTAATTTAGTCAACTAAATTGAATATGAAGTCGAGCAGATGAAACTTGAAGAGTGATTATAACTGTAGTCGAACGAGCTGAATATTTGCAGAGCGAATCTTGCAATCGAGCAGAGTCAAAATAGCAGACAGATGAGCAGACTTAATATTATAAGATTCTAAACATTCTGCATTTTTTTTTAAACTGTGGCCTCACAGTGATTGTGACGTCACTATATTCGAACCCACTCTACAGCGGGACCTGGAATCACTGGACTCGACGTGATCCTTAAATGGCTTGCACACCAATAAACAATATCATATTGAAATAAAATTTATGTTTTAACCAATATGGATTAATCTGACAGTAGAAATAAATGCGATATCATCCAGTCTGCAACTTCTGCATGTCTCTGTGTGAATTTTTCACACTGGCTATGTAGTTTTGTCTACAAAAACATGATGGACATGAACTTCACTCACTTCCGAGCTTTTCAGTTACATTTGAGAAAAACTACCATTAATAAATACACAGAAACTCAAAGATCTTCACGACCAAACAAAGTTTGGTTTAATTTGAAAAAAAAAATTATGACAGAAATATAATACTATTGTATACTAAAATGTAATTCTCAAAGTAGTAGAAGTAGCAGTAATATATTATAGGCCTATAAATTCTAGGGGAGGAATGTAAAACAGGAGGGGAAAATAAAATGTATTTCATGGGGCTCTAAATTAAACAATAATTCTCAAGGTAGAAGAAACATGTGGAGAGCATTTCCTTCCCCATTAATGGTAAACTACGGTGAATGGTGAACATTGTGTGACAAATATACATATTGTATGATATGGGGGAAAATATTATAATAATAGAGGCTGTTCCAAATTCTGCCGTGCCACAGAGTGCCACTTATATACAGTAGTTTTCCCAAATTGTTGTTCATGTACGTAATGACTTATGCTGCAAAATATTTACATTAATAGATTTATAGCTTGAATAATAGAAAATAAATAAATAGAATACTTCTTAGAATACTTACATTTTTTTAAAGAATTTCTATATGGTCAGGAGACAAACCAGTACAGTAAGCATCTCAATAAAATTAAGTCAAGCCGTTAAGAATCAGAAGTCTCTCAGTCTCTCAGTTTAGAGTCTGACGCCCTCATCTGAGAGGCCCATTTCTCTGAAAGACACACACTTAACAAGCAGCCCTTTATACTGTCTCTGTGTGCAGCTATAGTGCAGTCCCAGAAGGCCCCTAACCAGTATTTTTTTTTATAGGTAAACAGGCGATATGCTTTGCATATGTTAAAAAAAAAAACAAGATCAAATTTAAAAAAAAAATCTAGAAATCAGCTATAGCATAGTAAATGCACTATTATTTGTCCAGTAGTCTAAATAAAGAAATCTCAGGTGCCCACTAGAGGGCAATCAGTCCACTGGAAATTACAGTAATCTCAGTACAAGAGAATTTGAGTCTTTTGAAAAAGATTTTATTTATGCAAAACACTTTGAGTTTTTGTAACCAGAATAGGTCAAATAAGGTAGCAAACAAACATAAACAGTCACATACATGCTCAAAACAACTTAACTTAGATTAATTTTAGTCTCTTAGCTGATATTTTATATAAATATGAGGTGCGTGCAAGCACTGTACACCAAAGCAGAGAGGATACAAAATCCATTCATTAATTCTTTCAACATTCATTGCACAGGGATTCAAGGTCACATTATCAGAAAACCACAGGGGTCCAAATCTGCTCAAAGAAATGATGTGGATGATCAAAAACAGTAAGCAGAAACACATGCTTCAGTGAATGTGATCATGGGACTCTCCATACCAGGCAATTTCATCATCAGAATCCCTAAAATAATAATGTGTTACTGTCAGCAGCATCTGTAATAGTCAGTTCTTGCAGGATGTGTTTGTTCAAATCCTGTTTGACATCATTCTAAAGTTAAGTCTTCTAAAAAATGACTTCATTTTGCAGAACTTCCGCTTTTGCTTCTTGACTTTTCTCTTTCGAAGGTAAAACGCCTCCCAGTTTTCTTCATCTCCTTCCCAAGGAACCCAAGCCCCTCCGTTGCGTCTCGGATCGGCTCTGGGATCTTCTGCAGGGTAGCGCACCGGAACGGCGGTCCGGTTGTAGAACACTAACCGGGCCAGCAATTGCTTGACCACGTCTGGCCGGCGCTCTGCGAGATCATAACGCTCATACGGATCGTCCGCCACATTAAAGAGCCACAAGGATTTCTTCGCTTCCGTGTGCCGTTCCAAATTCCACCAAGATTCCGGAAAGTTTCCCAGCATCTGAGGCGGAATCCAGTCTCCATATCCAGGATTTCCGGTCAAGAGCTTCCAGTCTCCGACTCGAACCGCTGCCTGTACGGCCGTATTCCAGATCCCGTATCCGTTTTTTAAAGATCCATGCCTGGCGGCATTGTAGAGAGGATCAATATTATGTAGGATCTCCAAACGTGGAGACTCCTTCCTGCTACTAATGGTTTCCCACATATCATATCCATCAAGCCCGTCCATTTGGGAAACGTTCCCTCCTGCAAGTCCCACTAGCGTTGGGTACCAGTCGGTGATGTGAACCAGAGCTTTGCTAACTCTCTTCCTGCGTCTCAACAACGGACTATGGACGAATCCAATGCCACGGACGCCTCCTTCCCAATACGTTCCCTTTCTTCCCCGTAGAGGCCAATTGCTCCCGCCAAAGAGCGGCTGTCCGCCGTTATCTGTAGAAAAGATAATGATGCTGTTCTTATAGTAGCCATACTTTCGGAGTGCGTACGTCACGTTCTTTACCGCCTCATCTACGACCGAAACCATCCCGGCATATTTCCGCCGAAACACATTTCCCATTTGTCGATACGGATAGATGTATTCCCTCGGCGACTGCAATGGCGTGTGCACGGCTTGGAAAGAGAGGAAAATGAAAAGAGGCTGGGATGAAGGATCGTGAGCGGCGAGGATTTTTCGGACTCGTTGCGCATACAAATGTGTGGAGTAACGCCCTCCCTGACCCCACGCCACACGCTCGCCCTCGTGAAGGTCGTACCCGCAAATTCCCGGCCCGTCGCATGACTTGTAGGTGTAATAATCCACACTGCCCGTCAGAGAGCCAAAGTACGTGTGGAATCCGCGGCGGGTCGGCAGGCAATCGCGCTTGTAGAAGCCCAGGTGCCATTTGCCCACCATGTGCGTGGCATATCCCGCCTCCTGCAGCCGCTGCGGCAATGTCCGGAGGTCAAAGGGCAAACAGCTGGGCTGCCGAGAGCGGATTATCGAGTGCTGGAGACCCGTATGGATCTGATATCTAGAGCGGAAAGGGAAAGTAAAAAAAACTGGATCAGAACTCACAAACACATCTCATCACAAGCACAGACATGGATTGATTGATTTATTTTACACACTGTATTGCTATAGACATCAGAACTGCACATAACTGAATTATTTACTTTGTGCATGTTTATTTTCATCCTCTTGTGCTTTTTGTATGTCTCTCATATTCCTTTTAAAGTGTACATTTAATTTAATTTTTATTTATTATTTTTACTGTTTTTTTAATCTCTTTAAACCTTTTTATGATCATTATTTTTATACATTTTTATGTACAGCACTTTGAATTGTATGAAATGTACTATTAAATGAATTTACTTTGCCCTGTCTTGACTTTTCATAACCTGGACATTAGTTTATGACAATTTTCTGTAAAGAAAACTATGTGTATTGTGAAAAGTGTTGTACAAATAAATTTGATTTGTCTTTATTAAATAAGTTCTTATGTTCTACCGTTAAATATTTATTGGCCAAAAATGTTGCTCTTTTGTCACTGTTACTTTTGTCACAAGTAACAGTGATGTCAGATTTGTGAATGATTCACTTATTCGAGTGAGTTTTGTTCAAGAATCACTCAAGCTGATACACAAATGGGTCTGAATGATTAAAATGAAAAGAAAAATAATTTTCCACAAAAATTCTTTGTTCAAACAGTGCTGTAAATTGTCTGTACATTATATATTTGATGATGATGATGCCCACAGCTTCCAATAATCCATAATTCTGTCAGGACAACTATCGTCAAAGATGATTGACAATTAGCATACAGTTTGGTTCTGGGCAAGAACTCCCTGCGCATCCATGCAGCCTAGCATGGATGAGAGCAGGGAGAGCAGTGATAACCCCCCAGGGTAAACAAAACAGAACCAACATACTGTAAATGTATTGCATATATCATTAAAGTTCAATCATTTTATGTACACATTTTAGAATTAGTCTGATTCAAAGGAGAATCAGAAGGCTGAATCCTGACTGACAGAGAAGGAGTTGGGGATGGAGGATGTTAATTAGCTATTGAGCAATGCGAAAACTGCTGATAATACCGAGGGACCTTATATATGAATGCTTAGATAGGTGTTGTATTACTATAGGTAGATGGGGATCAGCTGAAGGTCAGCTGATGCGAGCTTGACTAACGTGACCTGCCAGAACTAACGCTACGCTTGATTGTTTTCCAATAACGCATAATGCACCATTTTAATTAACAGGAAAGTAGTATATACAGTATATTTGACCAAATACACTGTTGTTGATGAGAATTACTCTTTTTTTAAATGATCAGTAATTAGTTAACTTAAATCAGTATATCTCAACTTTTTTCACTCCAACGACCCACATTGTCCACAACAATATTCAAAGGCCCCATGACTTTTCCAGTTGTTTTACTGGATAAAAATTCTTAAAAAACATTTTTCACATACAGTTTCTGATTAAATATTTTAGAGCTTGGCATAAAGTGTGTTCATAAAGTGCATAAAAATGCCCACCGGGTTATAAGGCGAGTTACATGACTTTTCCAGGTCTATACAAATCACATTATTTTAAGTCATCTTGAGGCCCCCTAGTGGGCCCCCTGCCTTGAGTGTTTCTGGCATTGTAAATTGCTTTATTATAACAATATCACCCTTACAAAACCGTACTGTGGTGTACCGTGTGATGACCATGGTGCTTTTATTTTATTTACCACTCATTACCATATTTATGTAGCAAAAACAGCAAGTAGACGTCCACATACATGGTGCAAACAGCTGACAGACGCGAGTGAGTGAGTTACCTGCCAGTGATGAACTGACTGCGGGAAGGAGTGCAGATGGGCTGGATGTAATAGTTCTCCAGCTTCACTCCCTCCGCAGCCAGCTTGTCCAGTGTCGGTGTGTGGATGTCTCTGTTGTGGTAGCCGATGTCGTTGAAGCCCTGATCATCCGTCATGATGAAGATAATGTGCGGGCGCGGATGGTTGGGCTGCTCGACCTGGTTCGGACTCGTCCAGTCCTGGGACAGATAGCCCAGACTGAGCAAGCTCATCACGGAGAGCGCCGTCAGAGCCGCTGCTGTCATGGTCAAGTGACTGCACGTGAGGAAAAAATCATGAATGATCGTCTGAACTGCAGATACGAGCGTAAAGTTTGCGTGAGGAGGCAGAGCGATGTATGTGCGCGCCGTGAGGGTCTGGCGATGTCTCAAGAACTAGTGAGCTCAGCTAGAGCGCTTTTTTCCCTGCACGTGCCTACAGTGGCCAATAATGTCTAGTGAGATTAGTACTTTCACAGTATTTTTGCTATTCATGCCGACAAATGCTGCACACACACGATGGCACACCGGCACCCTAAAGTGCACAATGCATTTCTGATGTTGCACACCAATATGATGCTCTCTAAAGTACGCTGTAAAAATAAACAAATAAATAAATAAAAATAACGAGTAGGCTAATTCACGGTTTTAAAAAATGTGTTTACCAGAACGTTACCTTGTATGGCTACTATTACTTTTTTTAAAGTTTAACAGATATTTTACAGTCTTAAATGTAGCCTACTATAGAAACATATTATAATGTCAATATACTAATTTACTAATTACAATTATACTAATTATAATATACTGATAAATGATACTTTATACTTAATAATATACACAAAGTACCATCATGGTAACATGACACACACAAAAAAAAAAGGAAAAATAGAAAAAATGTCAGCAATTCCAATGAGAAACCATTCAAATGTGAGAGGATTCTGGGAATGCCGATTTATACTTTTTTAAAATGTAAATTATAATGAAAATGTATTACTTCTAAAATGTATTACTTTTTTAAATAATGCACATTTGACAGAATTTTACTGTAAAATTACACTGTAGGAAAAAAAGTTTAAGTATCAATTAGAAAATTAATAGTACAATTTCCATTAAGGACATTTCCTTCAACCCTAAAACACAATGCGTAATTCAAAATAAAACACCTGTGAAAAATCAATATGGGAAATTCCTTATATTAACACTATAAGGCTGTATGTTTACAGACTTTTCGTAGAGTGTACATGAAATGTGCCATAGATGCATTACAGTTTTTCACCATATAAAGTAAGGTAATTTAACTTTAATCAATTATTGTAGCATTTTCATATTTCATTATATTTTTTATATCTTATCTTTCTTTCTTTTTTTTTACAGTGTACTATATTTTGTCTTTGATGCCCAAAAATGCTTTACATAACATTACTCCAAATCTTTTTTTGTTTGTTTTTTTGAATACATATGACATTTCTAAGTATGCAGCTCACTAGGTTTTGACACAGAGCCACAGTTCAGTTTTTTCTGCTTTCTAGAATTGAGTCTTCAACGCCCCTTAAGTGCAACAAAGAGACATATTCAAGAGAGATGTCTTCACTCAGTGTGTGATGCCTTGCCATTGTTTAAACGAATAGCCTATAAAATAAATGCATTACGCCAATGGCTTTCATCTGTGGTTTGGAGTCATTTGCACATAACTGTTGATTTATATTATCATTTTATCATCATGGACATATTATGACCTGACTACAGATGTATAGGAAGTACGATCATTTTTACAACCTGTTTATAAGCTCAGTAAATGGAAGACAGTCTTTAGATTTGCTCTTATTCATTTGGTCAATGTTTTTTTATTAATCTCCAAACACAAGCTGAGGCCCCTAAGGATTCCTGCTATTAAAACATGCTGTAGGAGTATTTAGGGGGACCAGGGGTACAAACTGTGCTTGAACAGAGACAGCGTTTGTGCACACAAGAGCTCTTTTATTGGGACTTTGAGCATGTTATTATATATGAGCTGGCGCTCACTGGATTCACTGTGTGCACATCACCTGAAGCCACACACTCCGCTGATAAGATCTGAAAGAGAAACATACGTTTCTGCTCACATCTGTGTCCATTTAGCACCGGTGTCAACATATTGTGCAATGAAGTCAACATTCTCTGTAAAATAAATGAATGCCAGAATGCTCCAAGCCAGAATGCTCCAGACCAACTATCACGTCATTTTGAGAGGAAATCAACCTCACAAATCATGTGTCAAATCATACATTTTTAGCATTTTGTTCTTAATAAAAAAGACAAACAATTGGATATTGAGAAAATGTTTAGGATTAAAGATTTTTTGATTGTGGATATTGAAGATGAAACTAAAGTGTTAATAAGAATCTGCACTTGAGTCAACAGGACTGGTCATGAATGAGTCATAATTAAAGGAATAGGTCATCCAAAAATGACAATTTGCTGAAAATGTATTCACCCCCAGGCCATCCAAGATGTGTTTGTTTCTTCATGTGAACCGATTTGGAGAAATTTAGCATTACATCACAAGCTCACCAATGACTGGAGGAAGAGTTATTATGGATTATGGACTCATATTTTGGCCAGAAGTGACGGTTTAAAGTTAAAAACCTCTTAATGATGGATTTGTTTACAAACACGCAGCTTTTCACGTCATAAGACGTTAACTGATGGACTGGAGTCGTGTGGATTATTTGTGGATTATTGTGATGTTTTGATCAGCTGTTTGGACTCTCATTCTGACGGCACCCATTCACTGCAGAGTTTTATATTTGAATTTATAAAATTAAAATGAAATTGAATTCAACTGATTAAAAGTTTAACAAAAACAATTACAGTGCAGTGCCAAAGAAATATACTTTATAAGAGTGATTCAAGTTTTCTCTCTTACTTAAAATATTTGGCAATGAAAATATCTTACATGAGTGAGTAAACATTACTTTCCTCAAAAACAACAACAACAGCAAATCCACCTTAAATTTCTCGGATGTCAGTTTTAGCTCAAACCTCCGCATTCTGAGTTGCTGCCAAGCTGTTACTATCTTTAATGTCGACTTTGCAGAACAAATGTACACAAGCGCTTTTAGATCTCTCTATTAATACAACAACTGTTCATAAATCTACTAAATATTATGTCTGGTATTTAAAAAAAAAAGTGAGATATTTTAAAAAATCTGGCCTTTATGGGCAGCTTGTACAAATTCCTTTGGTCACAGTCACCTGGTCTCGTTGACTCAGAGATTGTTCTGGGATGAATGTAGACATAACAAATCAAAGTAAATTATCACACACACACACAAAAATCGAATCGATTTATTCTATTTTTGTTATTCTTTACAGGTACGTTGGGGCTTACTGAGTGTTTTTTTTTTCTTTTCTTCTTTTTTTAAAATAAATTACCTATATACCTATAAAACACATTCACCGTCATGTTTATTACAATAAACTAAAGAAAGTATTCATATGGGTAAATCTAGAGGTAAATATGCTTTTAAAAGTATTACTTATTCAAACATGTCCAGAAGATGCGTGCGTTGAGACACAATGCAAATTTCAAATTTGTCTTCTTAACACTAAAACTGTGCGCCTTTACACATACTACGGAAATTATATATCAGCACCCATAGAGACCAATTATTAACCTTTATTTATGTCAGCAGTAGTGGAGGGATGAATGATATATATAATATATCACAACATCAAGCCCTCAGTGGATAACAGATTGTTGTTGTGAAACGTGTTTTATAATGGCCGTGTGCTTAAATTATGTACTGGGATTATACGTTTATAATCTCGCAGAGAAAATGTACTTCTACTGTTATTGTCACCTCTGAACATCATGTTCGTTAAACACATACTCTTTTGTAACTCCAAATCTGATCAATTTTTTTCCCCTTTATGGCCTGAGAGAAAGCGAGAAGATGAAAGGAAATAATTAGAAGAGAAGCCAGCAGAGTCTGAGGAGATGTTGAATTTGGCGTTGCGAGAGTGTTATTAAAAACCCTTCCCCTCATACTAACACTAACTCTATTTAATCATCTACCACTTCCAGTAAAATGGCACACTTTTCATTTTCAAGCTTTCAAAGGATCTCAGGTTCTCATATTTACAGATAGTCTGTTCAGAGAGGACTTTTTTTCAAACCTAATTTGGAAATGATTTTTATTTTCATGCTATGAGCAGTTTCTGAAACATGATGGTTTGAGTCCAGTCGTTTGTTTCTGCTTTTATAATCCTGTTTAAACCTATTAATCCTATAAATCTGGTTTAGAGTATTACTGAGTATAGTGTGGATCTTGTCACCCTGTCCTGAAAGTGATTTTTGTGCATAAATGACCGATCACATCTGTTTTCATATAGAAGGTAAACAGCCAAGTTGTTATAGATCGAGAGGGGCCAGTAGTGAAAAGTGGGGCGGCTGTTGAGCAGTTTTCAGCAGAGGGTAGTTGTCAAAGAGAGGGATGTGAGCGGTGGGCAGACCTCTGAACAGCTAAATTTGTGGAATGTGTGTTCGTTTTATATCCTGGGGAAAGTGAATCTTGTTTTTGGATGAAACCTGAGAAAACGGTGCATACAGCACACGCTCACACAAGCAGAGCTTGACACTTGCAGACAACTCAGCGAAACATCATGACTATGTTTGCAACAATATAGGAGAAACTATTAATATGCAAGGAAATCTATAGTACATTTCCCACTCCCATTCATTCTTCATTCAATCACCTGAGCCATAAATGCCTAGAGCAGAACCCATATATATATATATAGTACCCTTCAAAAGTTTGGGATCAGTAAGATTTTTAATGTTTTTAAAAGAAGTTTCTTATGCTCATCAAGGCTGCATTTATTCGATCAAAAATACAGAAAAAAACTGTAATTTTGTGAAATATTATTGCAATTTAAAATCACAGTTTTCTATTTGAATATACTTTAAAATATAATTTATTCCTGTAAAGCAATGCTGAATTTTCAGCATCATTACTCAAGTCTTCAGTGTCACGCGATCCTTCAGAAATCATTCTAATATGCAGATTTATTATCAATGTTGGAAACAGTTGTGCTGCTTAATTTTTTGGGGACCTGTGATACTTTTTCAGGATTCTAAAAAGAACAGTGTTTATTCAAAATATAAATTTTGTGATACAATATACTATTCAGAAGTTTAGTTTTCTTTCTTTTTTTTTTAGAAATTAATTCTTTTATTCAGCAAGGATGTGTTAAATGGGATGTGCTAAGACTATTTTGAATAAATGCTGTTCTTTAAAAAATTTACTGACCCTAAACTTCTGAATAGTAGTGTAT